ACACACCAATCTAGAGGATACAGAACAAAACTGAAACCAAAATAGCAAATACAATACCTAAAACAGTGTACAAAAACATGCTTCATACTAAAAAGAACATTAAAAGTAGGCCTGTAGTCTTTTCTCAGAGCAAATACATTCAAGAAGAGAACCAGTAGGTAATAAATGTTGCCCATCATGCCATCAATAAACATGATACAAACACATGTGAAAAACATAACTAACATGCTTGAAGTTATAAAAACAAGGAACACAGCAATTTCAACCATTCAATTTATTTAATAACGTGATAACCAGTCAAAACAAGGAGTAGGATATAATGAAGAATTTGACTGAGGTGTAAAATAACACAAACATGCTGTACCTAATATACTACTTTTTGATTTCACTAAGTCATTCTATAGAATATTATACCACTAGCACATGCATATTACCAACAACATGACTATTTTACAGTTAGTCACTTCACTAAAAGTTTGCCGATGCTTGCTTACCTGTGTAATGGATAGTGACTATGTTAAAGTGATGTGATCTGTAAATTGAAGCTTTTATTCTTAAAACTTGTAACTTTGATAAAAATGGGCAAAATAGTACTGGCATTAAACATGAGACAAAACTGACAACTACAGCAAACTAATATGTCAACCTTATACAGATGGCACTGGAGATACACTAACCCTACTACTAGTAAAGTATTCAAAAACTGAGAGATAAAAATATGTACATGTCAACCCTATACAGATGGTGCTGGAGATGAACTAACCCAACTAACAGTACATTACTCAGGAACTGACAAACAGATATAGGAATCAAAATATTACATTCCTGCATTCCAGAGGAATATAACTTGGCTTGAGGAATTTCATCTTTTTTTAGTTGGTTTTTCTGGTTGGAAACGCATGGTCCATCCATATTCCTTTAAGTAACATAATGTTTTGGGACAACATGGGACCTACTGGTCCATCTTGGCTGTTTCATCCTCTAAATGAAACTAAAACTATTAATAAATAAATTTAAAAAAATCTTAAAGCTAGCCCTTATCATTCATATACTTATCAAGCTTTCTCTTAAACTCACTTAAAATTTACTGCCTCCACAACATCCGAAGACAACCTATTACAAAGGTCAATCACCATGTTAGAAGAATAAAACTGTCTTAGCTGAAGATGACTACCCTGCCAAAATCTATACTTGTGTACCCTAACCCTAATCCTACAATTAAAGACAACCCATTACAAAGGTCAATCACCATGTTAGAAGAATAAAACTGTCTTAGCTGAAGATGCCTACCCTGCCAAAATCTATACTTGTGTACCCTAACCCTACTATTAAATATGAAAAAAGATGATGCATTTACGCTATCAATTTTCTTTACAATCTTAAACACATCAAACAGATCCCCCCCAACTCTTCTTTTTCAAGAGAAAACAATTTGAGAGGTTTCAAACTCTCCTTGTACAACAACCCCTCCATCCCATTCTAGTAACCCTTCTCTGAACCATTTCTAACAATTCAACATATTTCCTTAGGTAAGGAGACCAAGTTATGACCAATAAAAGTAAATATATTGCATGAATTAAATAAAAACAATTCATGAGGAAATGAAACTTTACAAGAAGGAATTTAATCTTCCTGGTAGAATTCCCTCAAGTGAATGTAATCTTATTTCATTATTTCTATCCCTGATGTATGTGTGTACCCTATATAGCTGGTCCTGGAGATAACTAACCCAGCTAACAGTACACTATTCAGGAACCGACAGAGAGAGAGATATACATGTCAATCTCCACCTGCTTACAATGGAGTTAACAAAACTAACAGCTAGGCATTATGGACCTAACTGGTGAATATATACATGTGTCAAGCCAACAGCTGATGCTAGAATTACATTAATCTAATTAACTGCAAGGTACTACAGAACAAACTACTAATGATATCCATGTCTCAATTCCAAGAGCTGATGCTAATTGAGTACGTATTGACTATAGTTTGGTTAATGTTTACTCAGTCTTCCATATCACTGTAGTCAATACAAATATTTTGTAGGACATTAGCAATTACAAAGTATTTTAGATGTCATATTAAGATGGTGCATGTTGGTTAATGTTTACTCAATCTTCCATACCACTGTAGTCAGTACAAGAACTCTGTATGACATTAGCAACCATCAAATATTTAAGGTGTTCTGTTAAGATGGTGCAGGTTGGTTAATGTTTACTCAATCTTCCATACCACTGTAGTCAGTACAAGAACTCTGTATGACATTAGCAACCATCAGATATTTAAGGTGTTCTGTTAAGATGGTGC